CAGCGTGCAATGTGTTAGAAGCCGTGTATTGTTCAAATAATAGGTATTCAGGTAACGTTGTTCGCCAATCATTTTGTTTTCCCTATAATTTCAGGTGTTACCAATATCATTAAATTATGTAGCATAGAGAAACCTGCAATTACCAGCGATTCTGTATTCTGCATACAAAAATGATATTGTAAATTAATATCATTTGATTAATGGTGCATTCAAATGCTTTCGAAATGAAAATTATTTATGCGAGCGTTCCATGATATACATTCCTATGATCTTTAAATGAAAATTGTTTCAAAGTGATAAAAAATATTATTTGTACTCTGTTACCATAACATATTGTATTACGTTGTTATTAATAAGGCTTCACAAACTTGCAGCTAACAAGCCTTATACTAACAACACTAACTTTAAAGTGACCTAACGTGTATGAGGGAAATTTGTTGGCTATATGGAATGTGGGTAGTAGAGATTAGGATAGTTGTGGTAAGTTAAATATGCAAGTTACAAACATTACAATTCTGTAATTTGGCCAAACATTATAATTTTCCTGAATTTGTAGATGTTTAAATTTCTATGTTTGCAAAGTTTCAAAACCATAAATCCTTAAAATCTCAATTCTCAAATCTTCGAGTTCCCAGTCCTCCAAGTTTTTAAATTCCCAAATTCTTCAATCTCCAAACTCTTAAATCTTCAGATTATCAAACCCCAAATTCTCAGATATCCAAATCCACAAACCCCAAACTCTCAAATTTCCAGATCGCCAAACCTCAAATTCTCAGATCTCCAAACTCTTAAATTACCAAATCTATAAATTCCAAATTCTCAAATTCCCAGATCCTCCAAACCCCAAATTCTCAGATCCCCAAACTCTCAAATCCCCAAACTTCCAAATCCCCAAATCCTCAAATCATCATATCCCCAAATCCCCAAATCTCTAAATTTTCATATCTTCAAATCTCCAAATCGTCAAATCCTCAAATCCCTAAATCCCTAAATCCCTAAATCCCTAAATCCCCAAATCTCAAAATCCTCAAATTCCTAAATCTTAAAATCCTACAATCCTTCAATCCTTCAATTCCTCAATCCCTCAATCCCTCAATCCCTCAATCCCTCAATCCCTCAATCCCTCAATCCCCAAATCTCTAAATCCCCCAAGCCCTAAATCCCCGATCCCTAAGTCCACAATTCCTAAATCCCCAATCTCTAAATCCCCAATCCCTAAATCCCCAATCCCTAAATCTCCGATCCCTAAATCCCCGATCCCTAAATCCCCGATCCCTAAATTCCCGATCCCTAAATCCCCGATCCCTCAATCCCCGATCCCTAAATCCCCGATCCATAAATCCCCGATCCTTAAATCTCCGATCCCTAAATCCTCCATCCCTAAATCCCCAATCCCTAAATCCCCAATCCCTAAATCCCCAATCCCTAAATCCCCAAAATTCCAAAAACGCTAAACTTCGCAACAATATTACAACAATCGCGTTAACTTAATTAACGTAATTGTATAACATACACATTTCCTCTTTACACTGTGTGCGCTCGCGGAAAGATTTTCTTTCTCCAAGCAAATAAAACCGATGAAACGTTTAACCGTGCACGGAAACATGTGATGTGTGCACACGCGGTGGTCGCTGCTAGAATTAATGTGAAAATGACACGCGAACGAACAAATTACCATCAAAATTATAAGCTTCGTTGTTCAAGGCCATGGCCTGTTCTAACTTACTTCCCGACGCTTTATTATCAGAGTACAACACTTGATCCCTGTTACATTTACCAAGTAACAAAGTTTACATTGTACCCGATAACGTTACACGTTGTGTATTACATATTTGCATCACCGGTAACCAGAAACATGGAGTATCGCTTTGCGTATCCGCTTAATGAGTCCGTACTGTATAAATTTCTCCTCGTGGTTAGATTAATAATAGCGGAACAGTCCGATCCTCTATTCTAGTACAATGTTTTAATGCACTTTACCATATTGAATCTCTCAAATTGCAATTTCAAAGTTTCTTTGGTCGAACATTCTCGGATTCAGGGATTTAGAAATTTCTGATCTGTTAATTTAGATATTTGGAAACATCACATTTTTAGATTTGGTGATACAGAAATTTAAATTTTATAAATTTACAAACATTTGAGTAACAAATTTGTAAGTTCAGAAATTTTAAGTTTTAAAATTTTTATATACAAAAATTGAAATTTAGGAAATATGAAAACTTAGACCAGGACTTGCTAAGAAAATGCGTTGTGCATTTTGGAAACGAGGATATGTTAACTATCGCGATAGACATATTTCCTTTCTCCGGCAAGGTGTGTTGTATCGCTCGTCTACCAAAGAGGCGAGGGAAAGAAAGAAAACAAAGCCTGAACGTGGCTGTGATCTTTAAATCTCACGTTCCAAGCTTGCCCGAATGGCATATTCGAATAGAACCTGTTCAGGGAAAATCCACAAAAGAAGAATGAAACCCTTTTGAAATTTTACACGGAAAAATTCTTTGCATCGCTGCAAGTAACTATTCCATCACGCTCCCTATTGCACCGACGGAAGCGTATCATCGAGGGACTGCGCGATAACAACAGAATTTAATTCTATATAATTGAAATATACAAATTAATTATAATTTTAACTATTTAAGCTGTAATTCTTTCGATGAGTTAAACAGTTCTAAGCTATATTTTGCATAATTATGTCGGAAATAATTTTACTAACTTTGGAGTCGATATCTAAAGTAGAACTCTAAACCTGTTTAATTAATACGTTCTTGATTATAAATTGGGTATATAAGGAATAAATGAAATATTAATAACACTTCTAGTTCAGTACAGGTCTAAAATAGAAATTCATTTTATTTATAAAATGTAATTTAAAACTGTGCGCTTAGCTCGTATTAAACTTGAAATATTTCTACGGCTGAAACCCGAGTTAATTTGAATAGGAAAGTATCGTTCTAGTTTAGCTCGAAATATTTTCTTCGTTCGATTAGAAAGATGTCGGAAGAAAAAATAAATGGTACACGCGCGATAAGCAATGACACGGATAACAGTAGCAATTACCTTAGGAAGTTTGCATGAAAACGAGCCATTAAATGATACACGGTAATTAAGGTGTCGCCGATAAATTCACGATAGCAAAGGTTTCGACGAATTGTTTACGCGAAATTAGATTCCATACTATACGACACGATTTAATTTAATTCCCGTCGGTGGGCCGCGATTTCGTCGCGTGCAAACGTCGCGACTAATTAATTTACCGTCGTGCTATCGACAACTCGATTATTTACGGCCAAGTTTCCGCATAGTCCGTACTGTCAGATTATCTTGCGTTCAAACGTGGCCGAGAAACACAGCCGCAAATACCGCGACCGGTAACCGTGGTTAACGTGCACCACTCTTGGATATTCTATTACATACGTATAATATAGCCAAGTGCCCGCGAATAATTAACTGACAATGATAAAGTAGATTAGGGCTTTCTAATCGGTTTCATGCGATGTTTCGATCGAGCTGCATATAATTAATATTTTCTCTAATACGTTGGAAGTGTCCTCAAAATAATATCAGTAGAATAGGTGAAGTAATAAGTTGTCTGTATCAACTTGAAGTACAAAAATTACTGAAACTGAATAATGTAACGGGAGTATTGAGGGACTGAAAACTTGTGAAGTTTGGAATTAGAAAATAGTTTTTTATATTTGATGAATTTAAAATTTGTTAATTTCTGAATTTTCAGACTTCTACCTTCATAAACTTCTTAATCTGTAAATCTATTTCATTACTACACTACTATTCTGCTATTTTATTAATCACTATTTGATTATTCTACAATTGACAATTTGATTGTTCATCATCGCTAACTGTTCATATACTTCACTACTTCCATTATACATATATTTCGACTTTGAAAATCAAGTACGATTATGCACAGCTAAGCTGTAACCTGACACGAACTTTGACGCGAAATTAATCGAATCTTGGAGGGTACAATTGGAAGAAATCGAATTGTCCTGGAACACGCAATGGTTGCCCTGTTTTGCGCATTGGTTAGTTAGAACAGAGGAACGAACCAAGAAGCGTCTCGAACCGACGAACAAGTTTTCGCGAGACGTCGTTTCGAGGCGTCTTAATTGGAATCGGATGGAAGCGCAAGGAACTTCTTGCTTCCTGGCTTCCTCTCTCTCTCTCTCTTTTTCTCTGTGTGTGTGTCGTGAAATTGCAGTCCGAAGACGAATATCTCGGTCCGCCTGGGCGACGGACCTCTTTCGCGTTAAATCGATTTCGTTGAGGTGTTCTTGGCGTTGGACTTACAAGCGGAGGATCAGACGAAGAAAAGAGCGCGAAAAGTAGACTACGGTGGTGAGAAAAAGGATTCACAACTTGCTAAACTGGGGTAACAATTCAGGGATGGTATTTGAAACTTTCTCCTTCAAAATTGATTAGAAATATAATGGGCTTTATTCATTTTTATATTTATTTAAATTAAACTTAGACTTTAGACTTTTAAAATATAATATCAGTGTTGATTGAAATTGTACAAAAATTAAAATTATTTTTACAGTGGTATGTTAGTCGCAAATTGTACACATATCAAGTATTACAATTTCCTTTCTTAATTACATACGTACTGTTACTACTACCTTAATTATATATAATAGTACTATAATACTAATAATTATACAGTAATTATACAATAATAATTATACAATACAATACAGTAAATAACAAAATTAGGAAAGGATCAAAAGTAGATTTTATTACGCAGAAATTAATGTGATAATAAGACCGGATAGAATTATAGGATAATTTCTCATCTGTGCGAAAACAGACGTCGTCTCATTGTACACCCCTAGTTTCCTGTTTACAAATGGCGTTTCATGGATTTTCTATTTGTATACGTGTTTCATTCGTTGACATCGTCTTTGCGATGAACGATATTTACATTACTGAAATGATTATGAACCTGTATTTGTTTAATATTATTCTTTTGTTGTGATCAGGGAGTGGCAGAAAAGCAGCGTCCACTCTGAAACTCGACGATGTGAAGTGGATGTAGAGATGGGACGCGTCGGTCACCTCCTGTAAATATGTAAGTAAGAACACGTACAATAAAATTGCAATTGCTATTTTTCTCACGTTGCATGAAGTCTTTACTACTTTCTTTTATTCTTGTAAGTCTTCGTAACAAAAAGAATGACATACATTGCAAACATTGCTGATATTAACCTACAGATATTTACGAATTGTGGTTAAAAAATGATGTTCCAAAACATTCTGAATGATCTTGTATATAATTGTTTATTGATAAAACTAGAAAATAAAGGCGGTATACGTGTGTTATGAACACAAATATTTTACCCGGTAAATATCTAGAGAAAATATTCAGAAGCATCCACATGTCTCTGTACATCTTCAAGTAAAGATTAGAGTAGATACATGCGGCACATTTTCCTGTTGCATATCTTACGATATTCCAATTTATCGTGTCGATCACCCAGAAGCATTACTGGCAATTAACAGTTGGTTGTCGAGAACGTGTATATAGTCGTTCGCAGTGAAAGAGTTAAAAACGTGCCATTTCCCGAAGAGGACGTTCGTCCCATCACCGAACGCCAAGGAAATCGATTTCCTTTCCACTCGAGACACGCTTCAGACGATCTGCCACGGAAGAGGCAATTAAGGTAACAAAGAAAAAAAAGAGGAGAGCGGAACAGGAAAATGTGCCCGTTGTTACGTCGAGAAACAAACGGGAAGAGATGATGGGTTCATCCGAAAGCGGATGGCCGGAACGCGTTCGGAACGCAAAGGGTTGAACGGAAGCGAAATAGGGAAAAAAAAGGGGTGAACGATGTCAAAGAACGACCGCAAAATTATCCATCGCGCTTTTTTTTTTATATCAGCTGACCCGAATCGCTTTAATGAAATTTACCCCGGCATTCACATGATTCACGCGGACGTATTCAACGAGATGCACGTAGCCGACGAGAGCTCGAAAACTGTGTAATCCGAAAAAATATGTTCCGGAATACGCGTCCAGAGGGTAGATAACTCTATCCCCGTGAAACGTTGAAACGAAAGAACTTGTCTGGTCCAAGAACTCTGTATGAATTTACGCGCCGTTCAAGAACTGTACCGGCTAGAGTACTGGATCTTTTCACTTTACACCGAATAAAACAGTATTGCTATCATTTTATAATTGTAACGAACAATTAAAATTGTACCATACGTGCTATTCTCACTGGGTCCAAATTTTTGGTTAACATGACGATACCTCCTCGAATTTTCTAATTCAAGAAATTTCCAAATTTCTGAACTCGAACTACATTGTACACGTCCCGTACTATTACCCATGTGTTTTTTAGCGGGCACCCATCGATTGTAGACTTCATCAGGTTATTCCCGCTAGAATAACGAATTAAGTTCCCCAGTTAGCAGGTTGAATGCAAATGAGATTCGAATGATCTCGGATTCTTTGTTGCTGGTCTCGATTGAATAGGTATGTAAGTGTTTATCTTTGATCGGACGACGAGCGTGTTCGAGACGAATCGAAGATCGAAGTTGCACAATTCTATCGCTCTCGTTCTTCTCGTTGCTATTCGAGCGCGATATGCATCATAAATATGCATTCGAAGATTGCTCCATCGCGAACGTAATTCTGTCCGCTTGACAGCGTGTTGCGAAAGACGAGTCACGAGCGAATCTGCTTGTTGCGTTGTTCAATGCTACTTTCATGATTGTTTGCGATTTCGATAATCGTTCATCGAATGTCTTGTAACGTGAAAACATAATTGTGTGTGCGTACAAGTTAGAAAAAGTTCAAATTAATTTTTGAAATTACTTATGAATGATTTGAATTTACCGCCATTTCAATCATAAGGTTGACAACATACTCACGTCATGGTAATTATAAGTATCTCTTCAAGTATTCTTTGAACATCTTCATTTTTTGCGAAAATTCTACAAGAGTAATATACTTAAGTGCCTTACATTATGAAAATTGATCGTTTTAACTTCTTCCTCGAAGCAGTTTTCTGAAATTTTAACAAACTGTCGTAAACAGCAGTCACCCGTAATTATATTTCGCGGGAGAAAAAGTGATCAAGTACGTAATAAAAGTTATAATTAAATGGGTAAATGGAAAATGTGCGCGCAGAGGAAAAAATAAATCGTTCTCGATTGATCAATATTAAGTGTCTAAGTGTATTAAGCAGATGAACGTATGCAAAACAAATTGAATGAAAAGCGGAAGCGCTATAAATCCGTTAAAGTACGCGCTCCGATAAAAGAAGAAAAGAGTACCAGATTAAATTAAACGGATTATGTAAAATGTAAAGCTTCTCGGTTCGGAAGCTCGATGATAGAACCCGTACGATTTCTCTTCGAGCAAGTGTTGATTATTCCGTTAGTATTATAAAATAATATCATTCTCTCGAAAGATAATTTCAGCGCTTTAGTTTCAAGTTCACCGTGTAATGAATTGTTTGATCCGGTAATTCGTCAGATTTCGTTACCAACTTTAATCGAGTTTAATTTTCATGTTCTTGCACTTGTCACTCATTCTGTCACTTGCTTAGTTTCGTTCTCCAACTATAGTTACAATTATGGTATTTCAATAAATGTAAGATTATGAATTAATCGTGCGAGGATTTCGATGTTGGGGAATATTAAAATTCAAAACTAAGAAGATTTAGGGATATTGGAAAGTGGGATATGAACAGAATTGAGAATTTAGGAAATTTGGGATCTAGGGCATTTCGAATCATAGGAATTTGAAATCTAGGAAATTTTAGAACTTGAGAATTTGGTACCTAGGGAATTTCAAATTTTAGGAATTTGGAATCTAGGGTATTTCAAATTTTAAGAATTTGGAATCTAGGGTATTTCAAATTTTAAGAATTTGGAATCTAGGTATTTCAAATTTTAGGAATTTGGAATCTAGGGAATTTCAGTCTTTAGGCATTTGGAATGTAGGGAATTTCAAATTTTAGGAATTTGGAATTTAGGGAATTTCAGACTTTAGGATTTTAGAATCTAGGGAATTTCGCATTTTAGCAATTTGGTACCTAGGGAATTTCAAATTTTAGGAATTTGGAATCTAGAGAATCTCAGACTTTAGACATTTGGAATCTAGGGAATTTCAAACTTTAGAAATTTGGAATTTAGAGAATTTCGGACTTTAGGATTTTTGAATCTAGGGAATTTCAGACTAGCAATTTGGTATCTAAGGAATTTCAGTTTCACTGCTTTTTGGGATTTAGGGAATTTCGGGTCCAGGAACTTTCGGACTTTAGGGAATTTTTGATTTCGAGAATTCCCGTTCTAGGGAATCTCAGTCCTACGGAATTTGAGTTATTGGAAACTTCAATATCTAACGAGAACTATATCTACGGAATTTGACATGTAGCGAATATTAACGTCTATGGATTTTGGATCTGAGAATTTTGAGTTCGAGAAATTCCGGAATCCGACAATTTAAAGACATAGCAATTTTGAGATCCATGGATCCGAATCTATGGAATTCGGCATGGAGATATTTCAGAATGCGTTTTCGAATTCGGCGATATCGATATGTAGAAACATGCGTGTGAATAGAACGCGTAGGCAAATTCGGCGTAACAGACACGAAATCATAATCGCGATAGATCCGAAATCGTGGGTTGATTTATCGTAGCGGAGCGCAGGCAGAATTTGCAAGGAACGAAGGTGTGTAAAGGAATTTGCATAATATCGATTCGTAATCCATCCCATCGAGATAAGATAGCTGGCTGCTCGATTTTCCGCGCGTGTTTCTGTGACGGGACTTTCTTGCAATTTTCGTGTCATCCCTGTTCGCGGCTTCGAGCGATGGCACGAGGAAAAACATTTTCCGGGGAAATTGGAACGGAGATGGCTCGAGATTGGCGGGACGAGGGAATAGCGTGCGGTGAAAAGCTATGGTGGCTCGGACGGAGGAGATAGAGAGAAGTTCTTCTTCTTCTTCCTCTTCTCTTTGACACCCGAGTCGAGTATGCAACTTTTACGTTCCACTCTGTGTTTTTACCCGTCTTCTTACACGCGTGTGCGCGCGTCTATTTAACCAACACTTTTTGCGCGACCGTATGCAACCCTGTTGCTCTGAAAAGAGCTGCTGAATACACGCGAGAGAGATCTTGTTGCATCCTAGAGACTTTGATCTTCGTTAATCGCCGAGCTCGCCAGTCTACCGAAGGTTTTAAAATGTGGTTTCTCTACTACCCTCGCTAAGCGGTCCCGTTTCTCTACCCCCTTGCATTTTTTATCCACCCTCTTCTAGCCCTTTTGTTTCCGTAATTTCGAACGGCTACCACTAATTCCACCTTTTTTTTCTCGTGCATTGTTTCCAAGATGCTGCGTCACCTCTTATAATCGTTTATACTCTTTAATATTCCTTCGTTAATTATCGAAAAATATTAAACAATGTAACCTTTTTATTCTTTGAAACAATGTATGAAATGAATTACAGGCTGAATTATTCTCTGTATATTTGGAAACTACTTCAGCTAGAATATTGATTGTCGGCCGCCATTCTTGGCAACTGGAACGTTTCAAACATCTTCTTTCTATTCGTAAGACTGTTTACATAATAATGTGCTCAGTTGCTCTATCAACGTTTTAAGGATTGATTTTTTAGAGACAATTAAATTTCATTTTCAGTCAAATGAACCAATTTAAATTTGCTTTAAGTTTCAACCATTTAAAGGTTTTACAAAATTGTAATTTTGATAATTTACAAAAATCATGAACATGTTTTCGTTTATATATTTTGTACGTAATTAAATATAATTATAAAAAAATTGTAATTTTGATAATTTACAAAAATCATGAACATGTTTTCGTTCATATTTTGTACGTAGTTAATTATAATTATAAAAAAATTGTAATTTTGATAATTTACAAAAATCGTGAACATGTTTTCGTTCATATATTTTGTACGTAATTAATTATAATTATAAAAAAAATTTTTAGATGATGAGTTTACTTCATGGTTTTACAGAATTGTAATTTTGATACCTCAACAAAAATCATGAACATATCTTTATACATTTTGTACGTAATTAAAAATAATTATAA